AAGTTAGAGGGGCCCCAGAAGTTGAAACTGAAACTAAAACTGTTCAGTGTTCATACTGAAGGTTTCATGACAATCAAACAATCATCTTTCGTTGGACAGAAGGACACGTCTCAATGACCTCCTCCAACCAGAACATACAAACTTTTCTCTGAATGAGTTTAATGAAGTTCAAATATTTTTCTGCTGATGGAGGTTTCTGAGCTCTCTGGGCCTGCGTGAAAATGGTTCTGTTGGACCTACATGGTGAGATGGTTCTGTTGGACCTACATGGTGAGATGGTTCTGTTGGACCTGTGTTCAGGCTCACCTCCATGCAGCAGTCTCCGATGATCTCGGGCACGATGCCGTAGAAGGCGAGCTCCTCGTCGAAGGCCTGGACGCACTCGTGGCGCGGGTAGTGCAGCTTCCCGGTCCGGTAGAAGTTGAGGATGTGTCGGAACATCTCGGGGTCTCTGTCAAAGAAATACTCCTGCATGTCCTCGTTGTAGAAGAACTCCTTCTCCGAGGAGCCCATGAGTGTGTCGGGGTACCGGTCCAGAGTGTTCTTCCACGTCTGCAGAGAAACAAATACAATGAGCGGGTCACTGACTGAAGCAGAACCTTTGGGTCAGGACTGAGGTTCTGCTGTCAGATGGTTTCTTCCAGTTCAGAAGCAGAACACTAAAAATAAACATCATATGGAGAACGGGTTTACTTTGGATCCAAACAGAGCTGTTCTTTGGTGTGGACCTGAGAGGACCTTCCTGCTGGTTCTAATGGTTCTGATGGTGCTGACGGTTCTGCTGCGGCAGCAGGAGCTGATCGATGGATTCAATCGTTACTTTTGCCCAAACGCTCGAGTGGCAAAGACTCGTTCAGGAGCCACTGAGTGTCGGCCCATAGAGGCAACACGGGCCTCTGGTGAGATGGTTCTGGCCTTGCAGAGTCCAGGACCGAGGTCCACTTGACCCCCCTGCAGAAGACTGCAGTCAGAAACAGTGAAACCCAAATAAGAGCGGTCCGAGTGAAGGTTCTGCAGCAGGAGGAGGAGAGTTCCAGACGGACCTC